AAGGATAATTTGCATGAGAAAAGGATAATTTGCATGGGAGGTCATCATCATAACAATTCTCTTATATATGTAATGGATAACTAGCAACTACAAAAATAATATTTCAAATCTATTGGTAAAAGAAAATTCATTGCCTACCAGCAATTGCAGAGACCAATTGTCTCCACTGGGGGTGATGTTCACAGAATCTTCCAATTAACCTCTGCAAAATGCTTTTCAGCGAGGACTCCTTCTCAGATTCTGCTAGAGCAAGTTCAGCTAACAACTTCTTAATATTAGGAGTCCAATACCGGAAGAAGCCCTGAGTGCATCATAAAAGATGGAAATACATTTAGATTTACAGCATAAATTAGGGAATAGAATTTGAAGTAGTTTTAGCTTGCTATCAATTGCTCAGACTAATCCATTTTAATAAAGAGATCAAATTCTGAGCATTTGATTAAGAAAAACAATTTTATCTTGCAGTTGGCATATGAATATGATAATTTAAAAAACAAAATTAAAAACAATAATAATTTGAAATTGGTTGGTCTTCCTTGGTGCTTCTCCTTGCTCGTCAACTCAAGAATAAAAAGGTGACTTATGGCTGTTGTCGTTACACTCCATTACAAAGGTTGATGGGGGTCCAGGTTAAACCAAATCCAATTATTTCTAAATTTTTGTTGCAGAAAAAAGAATATAAAACATGGCTAAATTTACAGGTAAAACATATCTACGCTTGGAAATGTATGTTAGGTTTCATCAAACGAATAAACACATAATGACAACATGGTTAAGACTGCAGACTACATTACACTACTTCTACTAGAAACTTAAAATGTTACTAATATTGTTGGAGAACTACTTGTGTATCAGTTCCTATGGTTTTTCACTCAAATAAGCGCACACAAAAGAAGAAAAAACTTCAAAAAGCTTCACTAACCTTTTTAGACGATCTCAACTCATAATTCTGTGGAATATTACCCTGCAAACTTTCTGGCACTTCCAACAAATGTGTCTCTTTTCCAACTGTCACATAAGTGATCTTAAAAAGAAAAGCAGAATTTTAGAAGTTTGGAACCAATACTAACTTTCATATATTATATATGCTACCATAAGGATAAAAGTGATTGAAGAAGGTTTCTCACAGATGTGTCCCCAAGTAATTTCCGCTGTTCCTTTAAATACTTTGTCAAGCTATATTGTATCTCCTTAATTTTTTCACAGGCAGAGTCATACTCCACATCTACACCTTCACGAGGTATTATACGTCCCGAATTATTTGCTTCAACCCAATCAAAGGCATCTTTGAAATGACTTAGAACTGAATGGAGATCCGGCAGACCTTCACCTGTAAATAAATAAAGCAACAAGTTCCAATTAGTTGGTTTAAGTAGCCCTTTTAGGTACATAATAGATCACAAATCACAATACCAGGTGTTAACAGGCAATCAAGTCGTCTTGATTCAACATTTTCCAAAATGACACGAAGTGAAGAACAAGCTTGGAGCATCAGCTCACAACCACGCAAAGCAGATATAAACTCTTGAAGTTGTTTTTTTGCTGCATCCTCGTATAGGACCACATTTTTCGCATTCCTCCCATTTGCTTCACTATTATCAAGTCAATCATTGAATATGAATTATTTCAGAAACCATTGCATCTCTAAAATATACTTACAGTTTTTTGACCTCACCTACTAGAAAAAACACGAGCAAGTAACCGCTCCATATCCGGGAGTTTGGATAGTGCTTTTCGAAACTCAAGAGAAAAAGATAAATTATCTCCCTAGAAAGAAATTATATACAAAATTAGGAAAGGAAACTGCCTCAAAAGTTAATTATATGTGCAGATATGCTCCTGCACTGCTTCAGAAAAATCAAAGTGAAGCAACTGAACAAAAATGCTAAATTAATTACTGTAATTATTAAACCATACCCGTAGGCTTGCTACAGCACCTTGTCTTTCTTTAATTGATTCTACATGATATAAAGGTCTTGCAAGCCATGTCTTAAGTAACCTTTTCCCAAATGCAGTCACACAGTGGTTCAATTGTGAAAAGAGCGTCCTAAAACAAGATTGAAATTTGTAACCCTCAGAAATAAGCTCATAGCAGTAATAAATAATACTTGGGAACAGGGTCAAAAATAAGGTTACCCAGTAGAGTCCCCATTTCTGCTATTCTCAAAGATCTCCAGATTCTCCAAGGCAGCTGCATCAAGAACCATGTAGGGTTTTGAAATAACATCACTGAACCCAGGACAAGGAAGTAATTCAAACTTTGCAAATCTAAGCAATGTCTCATCCAGGAAGGCCTGCTTTAGATAGAAAAGGATTCCTCCAAGAGCTGAAAGTGCCCAAGAACCATTTTCACGTGCATTAACTAGTTCAGATAAAACATCAGGCAAGTAGCTCAACTCATCCTTTTCTCCTGGAGCTTTGTCATTGAGTAAACTTGTTTCACTTGAAGATCCTAATTGATTAGCAATGCCCTTAAATAATCTCTTGACTTCTTGAACACTTTTCTCGGCATCCCAGAATTCCAGTAATGGAACTAACTCATTCACTAAAGGATTTCTTGTATGAGTGAGTAGAGCCCTCTCCGTTTCCAGACTTAGCAGTTTGGCAGGTTTTACAATTTCAACTGGCCTAAGCTCGGACAAAAGACAGCACAAAGCACTGCACTCTGAATCATCTCCAAACTATTGAAGATGAGCAGAAAATTAGTAGAAATATCATTTGATAAATGTACTGCACATTGTTTATCGTATATCATCACCTGACGAAAATGCAATTCATATCATGTAACAACCATAAAGTGAGTTCAGGTATAGAACTATAGATTATTATAACTCACGTCTAAGCATGAAATTAATAAATAAAATAGTAACGCATACATGCATATGCAATCACAAATAGAAAATAGACAATTCGTCCAACTACCCAAGTCCCACAATAATCCCTGAGGTCAAGACATGGTTTCCTTCCTCAAAAAAGAATTGCCTAAAAATATGTTGGATAAGTAGGCAGATAAGATAAATCTTCTCTTTCAATAAATGTAAGTAAGGGGAAAAGACCCAAACAACAGTAAACTTAAATTCTACTCAATATTTTACCTGCCCGAGGATAATCCTACTGGTGGCCACATCAACCACACAAACCCCAAAAATCCGTTCTTGCTGATTTTCCAAGCCATGGAATTTTTCAGTAACTGCCATGAGGTATGAAGCATCAGGATTCAAAGATAGCATCTCACCCTCAGTTAGTGTTCCTTTAGTGACTACAGCACATATTTCACGTTTCACTACCTGTAGACATGCAATAAATAATATTACTACAACCTTACAAGTTACAATCCCACCACAATTCATTTCTAGCATCAAACTTCTAAGGGGCGGGAGATAGCACAATTATTAATCTTCATGGGTATAAAATAGTTACTCAGATTGCATAGATGAGGCAATAGATGAGGCAACTAATGATATGTATACATGCCTTATCCTTAGAACCTTTCTCCTTACGTCGTCTCTCTAACTGTTCAGGAGTTTCTGTCTGCTCTATAACAAGAACTCGATAACCCTGCTCTGCCAAGGCAGGCATAGTTAAATGTCACCTTGAGAACATAAAAGCTTATAAAGGATTTATCAACCAATGAGCTGGAAAAATAAATCCACAATAAAAGGAAAAAGGATGACAGCTAACCTTCCTAGCCAACTTCTCCACATTCAGTGAAAAGTTCCTCTCAGGGAAGCCACAGTGAGGTTGTTCTCCCTTCAATTATTTATTTAGACAAAAATATTAATCAGTAACTTCAGAATTGAAAGCAAATGCCTTATCATGCCGCACATAAGATGCCAAGATAATTGGTTAGTTCGTGCAAGAAATGCCCTCAACAAAATACAACCTATGCATAAAGCACGTATGCTCATACATTCACATTTATTGGTTACTGAAATGTAACTTCCTCAATAAACATTTAGCAGTCTTACCCTCATATATTGCAAATCAAGTTCCTTAGCTCCTACATGTGCATCCATTTCAAAAAGTTCATAAAATTTCCCCATCTGCTTCAAAAGAATATGAGAAGAGTATTACTAACCAACAGTTAGTATGCACCACCAATTAACCAGTGAAGTATAGAGCCACACCTTGAAAAACAGAACTTTATCCATGTTCTTTGACTTAAACTCCCACCATTGTCTCTGTACACACAAGATCAATTAGGCTATGACTCACAGAACATCATTCCTACCAAACAAATCCAGAGAACTTCTAGAAGCAGAAAGTTCAAAGATAAAGTACCTGACCGTCTGATAAATTCTTCAAGAAGTAAGGAGGCAAATACAAAGTTCTTGGATCATAGTTGGCATCTCCTGGATGTCTTTTGTTTGCATCCCTCCTGTCTCTGCTTAAAGACCCAAGTAATTCATAACATAGTGAGTATCACACACCAGAATGGAATATCGCTGTTGTGTATACTATAAGCAAAGGCTCTGATGTGATGTGTAAACTTTAAGTTGTCTAATGACTAGCAAGATTCATTCTTTACTTTCTTCATATTTTGGATCACGTATAAGATATTCAAATAGAATGGGTAAAAGCAGAAACAAATTATATAGACAACTTACTCCTTTAGAAATTGGAACTTTTCAGCTTCTCGTGAGTTGAACCTTTCTAAGGCATCGCTTGCAATTTCATTAGTTCCATTTAATACATTAACCCCTAGGGAGGAGAGGAGAGGGAGAAAGAAAAAAAAAAAAGGTCAACATCGAGCAACAAAAGAGATAACTTTAACTACTTAAATAGCAAAATGAAGATATATATTTTCAGTATTCACAGGACAGCCAAAATTTTAGAAGGTTCATATTTTCAACAGGCATAAAGAGCTATTGCAATTTAAGTGTCTTATCTGAACCAATCCAAATTCTTGTCGGGATTACTTGCCTGACAGTGAAAACAATAACAATAATTTGTTTGAGTTAACCGCTTTCAAATGAAACACAATCACAAAGCTAAATTCAAGAAACAAGTGCCGGCGAATATCCTCTCGGAAAAACAGAAAAGAAAGAGAAATGCAGATAAACTGACACACATCGGTTAGTTTAAAGTAATTCTTTACAGTATTCAGCATTACATGATGCAGCGAAGAGAAACTACTTGAAGTATTTCCTGTTGATTGATAAAATCGTTTCTAATATACACTTAGGCCTACATATCTAAACTGTAAATCTGACTAAATTCCAAAAATAAGTAGGTAGACCCATCACTCACTCTCAGGTTTGGTCTTAGGCTCCATTGAAGAAAGCTGTAACCCTCCAGAAACCACATTTCCACCGCTGCTCTTGCCCATTTTTGAAGTTCCTCCCACCTTCTCGCTGCTGCTCATCTTACGCTTCTTGGATTCCACCTTCCCACTCGGCTTCCTTCTTGACTTTCCCACTGCATCCTCCTCACTCCCATCTTCTTCTTCCTCCACCAGGTCCACATCCTCCCCTTCACTCGCCTTGTTCTCCACATTCTTTCCCCAATCTTCATCTCTTGAATCATCGCTGCTGTCCCCATCATTTAAATCCTCCATATCATCCACCACTGCACTCTTCGGCAT